CAAATTGTTAAAGTTAAAAAATAAACGTACAAAACACATTATATATTTAATTTTTTTCAAAATTCCACCATTCCATTACCTATCGATGATATTATAGCATCAAATCGCAAAAATTAGAAAGAGCCATTCTACCTTTTCGGGTGTTTTATAAAAGAGGAAAAAATTAAAAAATTATAACAAATGTGTAATGGACACAATGATCTTGTTGAAACTTAAGATGACCTATATAATATATTATTTCATTGTGTAGGTATTAAAGTAGTTTAACGTGTTTCGGTGGAATATTGATCCATTCAATTATTTTGAAGTTCTATACTTACGCCTATGAGACAATAATCTCGCAACATAATAATATAGTTCTATCGTACGTCGACTGAATTTATAACAGTCAAGTGCACTTTACATCCAGTGATAACACTTACCGTCCCAAACATACTTTAAGTATCCACACTCGTATCGATACCCAAACATAACCCCGAATGTCACGGTTAGTTTTGTCTTGTATTATCTTGTCTGTATCACGAGGTTTTTTCCCCCCTATAAATAGTAAAAAAGGTGTATTTTCGACAATTAACATTGTAACTAGGTATAACACTACTACATTATTTTTATCACATTTAATAGATACTTTTGCAAAAACCATCGAAAAAAGTCCACGAAATATCTTAAAATTATTTGTATCATATTTTGTGAATGTAAATTTTTTTTTAAACTTTTAAACAAACTTTATGTGGACTGGTCTTTCAATTAAACACTAGTATGTAATATTATGTAGAGGAAATTAAAAAAAATAAATACTAATCTCTACTAGTTAGTAGTTACATAGGACAGAATACATTTAACATATAAAGATAATATAGTATGTAATATAATATAATATAATTTATATAAATATAATATAATATAATGTATATAAAAATAATATAATATAATGTATATAAAAATAATATAGTACGCCGACTCTATGTGGGGAGTCTGCAAATAACACCTGACGTGTCGCGTAAGTACTATAACTTACGACTTTTAACTAGGCGCAGTATTATTATTTACCTACCTCCGAAGCGTTTGGTCGTAATCAAATGTATACGGTGCTGTGTTTTCCGTAGAAACGTCAATTCTCCAGTGAGTTGTCTGTTTCATCACTCTCAAGATAAATAATAGTATGTCAAGAATTGTCAACCAATACTCCATAGTCGTCGGTCCAAGATAGGTTTGGATATCTTTTGTACTTAAAACTAAAATGTCTAAGCGTTCAAGTTCTTCTTAATGGAAGCATTTTAAAAACGGAAGTTTATATCGCCACAAGGACACTTCTAATGCAATACGAAAATCTCAAAAGTTCTAAAATGTGGTCTTCAATTATATTTAAAAACATCTAGAAACCAGATATTATCGTCATCTTAATTCGCAAATCACTAAACTCCATATTGACTAGTTTTCAGGAGAAAGGAAAAACATTTCATAGGAAAATTTCCTATCTCATCTCTCAATTCGCAAATATCCTATCTTCATAATTTTTACCTTTCTAATATGGAGTTATGATTTTTTCTAATTGTTAAAATCATCACATCGGAGATACGACCATTTCTAATAATCAATTTCATATGGAGGATTAAATGTTACAATTTATCAGTTTCAACTTTATCATACAACGCAGTTTTTTCCTTAATTTTAATCACAATTAATTCCAAAATCACATTTTTGGAGTTAGGACAATATTGCGAATTAGGCTGATGATATGTATATTAATTTTAATAAATATTATTGTATACAAACAATTGGGGTGTACAATTATACGCCATCGAGTCCAACATTAGAACTCGGATCACCTATATAGTATTACAGTATAATATCCCGACTCTGTGGAGTGTGCGAATAACACGCCTTGAGCGTCTTCTAAGTACTACTCACGATTTTTAACAGTACCTATTAATGTTTACCTACCACTGAAGCTCAAACTTACGGCGCGGTGTTTGCCGCAGAGACGTCTACATGGTTGCACGTTTATTTCAGTGTGTATTCGGTTATTTCCATATCACGATGCAGAACAAATGACATTATCCGCAGGCATATAACACCGAGCTGTTTGCGAATACTATAATATATTATAATATATTAACTAGTAGAAACGAAGAGGCGTGGACTTATAATATATCGCTCATATAATATTATGCGCACCCGTACATGGCTCGATTTTGGGGTGGTTAAACGGAAGGTGAAGTTAATCACTCTATAGTATAGATAATTTTTAATTTTTTTACCATCATGAAAATCGATGACATCCATGAGTCATGACAATACAATATCCACCTGCGTGACCATATAGGATTATTACATATATTTATGCAAAGCAAATGAGGTAGATATAATAGATAGGTATTAATACATAGTACATACTTTATAATAATACGTTTAATATGAGTAACATAATAATATTAATAATATTAATTAAATTAATACAGAACAAAACAGGTGGCGAAGAGCCGAAGATGGTACAGACATGAAATACGTGAGGCAAACCTACCACTAACTTGGTACAAATGACAATGGAGGACATGATAAACGGTTTCAGAATAGTACCAGCGAAGACAAAAGTGAGATAACGGTGGGAGAGGAGGGGATGTTTAAAAACCTTTTAATTTCTATAATATACATATTACTGGTCTATCTTGTCAACAGAACCACAACAACAAAGGAACCGCCTGACAAATTTCTTTGTATGGCGCCAAAATGAACGATGAGGACGTGTGTGTCTCGGACTTTCCGGTTTCCGTACATCGCTGGTGACCTGCTGAAACTTTAGGTTTGGCGTTGATCGCCACCCAATATCTGCAGCTGTCTCGCCAGCTAATTTTGGATGTATGGGAATGTTCGGCTCAGATACACAGAACCTGCCGTCCAGAAAACCCTCGGAATCACAATTTTTCGATGGTTCCGGTCTTCGTATATCATTGGTACGGTTAAACTTGAGATTTGGAGTTGATCGCCATCCAATATCTGTCGATTTGGCTGAGGAATTTTCATACATCACAGCCATGTTAGGCATAGATACACATCTATATGACATATTTATTTGAAAATATTATATGGGCACAATTAACGGAGAAGATTATACAGAAATACGTATAGGAATTAAATTTATCCGTAATGAACACAAGAAATGAATATTGACAAGTGGTAACTATGTGACACAGATATGAATTGTAGATTTTTGAAACATTCACGTATATGGCAACGATATTTTAGTTGTTTGTGTTGTTTTCTTAGAGCCAATATTAATAATGTTAATGAAGTTGAGAATTTCATAATACTTTACCAAGAATTTTCGAAAACTAATTGGATTCGTGTTGGTCAGCTTGACAATCCATCAAGATAAGTAAAAGTAGTTCTTATTATTTGATTAATATTAATGTATAAGACCATTTTTTTTTCAGAGTCATGTTTCATAAATATTGCGTATGCCAGCACAGTAAGGTGACTTCATTAACATTATTAATATTCGCTCTAAGAATCGGGGTCTTTTCATTTATATTAGAAACTTCATTTGATAGAACCGCAATGATATTATTATTTTTTAAGAACTTAATGAATTCATCCATTATGAATACAATACAATTGATTATTTAGAAATGCAGAAACAGAGAACTACAACCAACAAGTTAAATACCCAAACAACCAGAGCTTAAAAATACCTAACTAGTGAAAATGCTAAGATGCTTTAAACACTAACAACTTAAAATTAAAAGTACAACTATAACGGAGATGTACAATTAAAGTTTAAACATGACAGCAAGTCAAAAATCAATTTAATATTCCTGTTGACAAATTAATAATAGCTGGTACTGATTACATACCTAACCTATACTTCCTACATCGCCATTAAGTAAGTCACCGTTGTAATGGATGTGGTAAATTTAAATTTAATTAAAATCATTGTTTTAAAACGATCTGTCAGAATAATCATATTTTAAATATTTTATTATAGGTTTATTGGTACTTATACATATAGTATTTTTGTAAGTAATTTATTTTTCCATCAGTAGTACGGGAGGTTGAAGTACAGGGACTGGAACCTTGATAATTTTTACGGTTTCGGTTCCCAGTGAAACTAAAATTTCGGTTTCTGTTCCTTTTCGGTTCTTAAAAATACAAAAAATTGTTACCTAATTTGGTCTTTTACTTATGGAAAAAAATTTGTCAATTAAAAGTATCGGTTCCGGTAAGGTTCCGGTTTTTAAAATTTAAATTAATTTAAATAAGTGTTCCAGTTAGGTTCCGGTATTAAAATTAATTTAAATAAGGGTTTCGGTGAGGTTTCGGTTCCCAATATTCAAAGGGTTACGGTTCCAAAACCGGTTCTTTTCTGTGAGGTTCCAGTCCCTGGATTGAACTAATTCTTGATAAAAACTAATTTTATAGGTATATTATAAATTATAATATTATTCACACAATATTGGTAGATGTTATTAAAACCTAGTCAAGAGTAAATACAAACATACGGTTTTAATAGATTTGTGGTATGCGGATAAATCTAAATATTTTGAAAATTGTCTTGGGTACCTATGTTGCAAACTTACTGGTACTCGGTGGAGTGTCAATAAATTAATTATAAGTCTGAATTCCATATTAGAGTAAACTAATGACATTATTTTAAATCCTCACATATTTTAATGAAAATTATTTCTTGTGATAAGAAACAAATTATTGTGCCGTGCAATAAAAGTGCTTTTAAGTATTCCACTTACATTACCTGTACAATACAAGTATTCATGTTAACAAGAATAATGTTGAAATTTGCATATTTAATGAATTTGGAAATAAATTGACCCTTTATTTTTTTTCCAATTTTGAACAATATATTATATTATTTTTTTGTCACGGAGATATTCGTTTATTTATACGACCAATTACATTTTATTTGGAATCAGTTTATATTTGGTGAAATCGTGACGGATTAATTAATTAATACTTGTCAACTTAAAGTATTTTACATTTTACACATGGCAAACAACGAAACATATACGGCGGACGACCAGTTTGATTGTCACTTGACACCGGTTAGAGTCCCGCTGTTAGATTCACCGGCCGGCGATATTGGTTTTGCTCCGGAGGAGGCAGCCGAAAGCATGACTGTAGTTTCTACAGCCCTGGCCAAAACCGATGGCGACGGGTTAGAGCCAGCTGTAACTGAACAGTTTGATTGTCACTTGACACCGGTTAGAGTTCCGTTGTTAGATTCACCGGTCGACGATATTGGTTTTATTTCGGAGGAGGCAGCCGAAAGCATGACTGTAGTTTCTACAGCCCTGGCCAAAACCGATGGCGACGGGTTAGAGCCAGCTGTAACTGAACAGTTTGATTGTCACTTGACACCGGTTAGAGTCCCGCTGTTAGATTCACCGGCCGGCGATATTGGTTTTGCTCCGGAGGAGGCAGCCGAAAGCATGACTGTAGTTTCTACAGCCCTGGCCAAAACCGATGGTGAAGGGTTAGAGCCAGCTGTTGGCGACCTGCAGTCACATCTTAATTGGTTGACGGAATATCACTTCACGCGTGAAACTTAGCACTCTAAGTACTGTGTTGGCAGCTATTTTAAGACGAGGAAAAATAATTCAATTAATTGAAAACATTACTTTGCTGTACTTTAATTCAAACACTATATTATATAAATACCAAACTTAAAAAAAGTTAAATACTTCTTGGAAACAATTTCACTGTCCAAATATCACAATATAAATAAGCTAATTCTATTCGATTAAACAGTGTATAGGCACAATCGTCGTCAACAAATATCAATACTAGCCAACACAGCATAATATCAATGTTCAATGCGACAGTGTTTACTGTTTATACGTCATAATAATATTATAATAATAATAATGGGGGACGGAGTGGCCGAGCGGATTAAGGAGTCGGTTGTGACGCACACTGGCGCCGGTTCGATGCCGGCCGCGGGTGGCATTTTTCTTCGGGCAAGTCACGGTGTCCGGAGAAAAGTGCCACCATCCCCCACCCGGGCATGGCAGATACCTAAGCTACGGCGGCCCACTAAAAAATCTGCCAAAAGCAAAAAAACACACGTGTGTAAAACTTACAGTACCCTCCCCCACAGTAAAAACCACTCAATGGCCTAATAGTTGCCGCGGGTTAATTAATAAAAAAAAAAAAATAATAATAATAATAGGTAGGTATATAACGTCATTGAAGATACTTCAGGTATTACTATTGTAGGTATATACAATAGTTTATTGTGTGGCAAGGGCTGGAAGTGATCAATTTCAGCGACAAGTCGGCAAAGGTAATGCACTATGCAGGGATATTCTATGCAACAACCAGACTATTCTACGAAAACAATTTCATGAAAGAAAATTGTTTGCTCGTCATGCAGGGAGGTTATAATATGAATATAAGATGTTGCCCACGATGTAGATAACCTAAAGTTTATGTTTTGTAAGGACCGTGGTATATAGTTTTCAGTGTTGCTCCAATTACTTATTCGAGAGGGGGTAACATTTATTTTACCCCCAATGATTTTTTGACATCATACAGCATACATTTTATTCATACATTTATCTAGTTAAGTCTCAGCACAAATTAATGTGACTTTCTGGTAAGGTTTTCTTTGGTAGACAGTCGAACATTTTTTAATTTTCTCAATTTTAAATGAATTTTGTTTAAGTTTCAACTTTAGACCCATATTGAAAATAATATATTGTGGATCTGTGTTCAACTTGACCGAGAGAGAAAATTATTTATCGATGATATTTAAAAATAAAAATATTTAATGCTCGAAAAGAGTCTATATATTTTGAATATCTTGTAGGAAATATCTTTCAGGAAAATTCTTATATATTATATAAAAATTTTGTTAAAATATAAAGTTTTTGAGTTACAACAGAAAAACACAATCGATTTTGTCGATAACTGGTTTTGTGTGAAAATTACTTTTATATTTGTTAATTTTTTTTTTTGTTTTTCACGACGCTTTTGAAAATTACTGGGAACTTTTTCCTTTTGATTTTTGACTCAACAAAGTATCAACTTGATTCACTTTCCTATCAGAAAAGATGCTGAAGTAGAAATTTGAACCATTTTTACTGTCGTAATAGGTGATTGCAGACATAAAATAAAAATAAAATATAAAAACACAAATCGTTGTAAAATAAAATTGTTCATGTGTGCCGGGGGGCCATAACCCACCCTATTTCAGTTGATATGTACTAATTGTTTTATCACTTGTAAAATAAAAAAATTAAATGTACTGTATTATCAGAGATTTTGACTTTTTACACAATACCTACTATTGATTATAAATACAAGAATTTATGTTTTAATGGTAAAACTATTAATTAAATTATTAGTTATTGGCTATGTCTAATGTTATCACACAGTATACACATTGCACGCTGCGACACACTAGGAAGTCATCTTTCTTATATTTGTACAATATCTTTTTACACTTAGGATTACGATTATCCACCAATTTTGGTTGTATACCCACCCCTTTAAATAGGTGTGGCGGCTGCCACACCTAATACATGGGTTCGGCGCCACTGACTGGTGGTCAGTGGTAGTCGAGTCACACGACCACCACCAACTGACCAACTATCTGTCTTCCTATATTACTTATATATCAATATTACAATCGAAGCACTATTGGTAGTATAGATATTAAGTTTAACCTAGTTGCATTAAACTTACTGACTATGCTTAAAATTATACTAATTGTTATTGTATTACATAATAATTGATATCTTATCCTAATTTGGTGGAATGCATAATTGTTTCTATGTTGTTACTTAGCTTATTGAGTATTGTATGATTTGATTTGTTTTGGTATTTAACCTACTACACTCTACATATCTAATATATTTATGTATCTTTCTTATAGTTGCCGTCTACCGTCTACTCATTTTTTTCTGATTGTTATAAAAATTAAAATATAAGAAATAAAAAAAAATGTACATAATAATTTTAAGTAATAACAATAAAACAAAATATTATATTATAATTGAATGTGTACATTTTTCTTGAACACTAATTACTTTTTATTTTTATGATTATTATATAATTTATATTATGTCGTATTTTAATGTTGAACAATAAGTCTAACACGGAAGATACCGGACAAATAGAACCGCGACAGAGGTATAGCTAAATTGCCTATCCATAACGCCGTGTAACGATAATATTCAAATACACGAAGAAAAAAACTAACGGCATTACGGAAGAAAATAAAAGTATAACAATTTGATTTACAAATATATTTTTTTTCTATTGCGGAAGCCCACGCATAGTAAATTATATAACTATTTTTTTTTTAAAAAACGTCAAATATACAAGTGTACGAAAATGTAGATAATAATATTGAATATTCATACACAAATTATTAAGTTTTTACTATAGGTATCTAATAAAAAACAACTCTCAAAATGTATTCAATGTTTAAAGTCTAAAACTTTAAGCTATATTTTAGTATTTACCTGTATGTACATTAAATACAATTTTCTACTGCACAACAGTAATAAAACATTTTTGAAAATCAAATGTCTTAACTCGTTTTCATCTACCAGTATAATTTTGTCCGACAAAATAATATATTCTCCCCCAACGTTGGAGACAGTAGGTACGGGTACTGAAATTCAAGTTTACCTAAGCCCGTTACGCGGTTATCGTCACGTAAAATAAAATTGTATTCGCCAATGTGTCGGCATCAACAAATTATACAGGATGCGTTGCGTTTTGAATATGAAATTTTAAATAGTCGACGTACAGTGGCGGTCAAACGGGGTGGGGGGTGGGGGTGTGAGGGGGATAGATCCCCCCCATGACTTTTTTTCAATATTAATATTTTCCGAAGTCCACCTATTACCGATCTCTGACTTACATTCTACTATTTATTTATTACGTGTGATAAGAAAGTATACCAATCTGTTTCACATACGATATACGTACACAACGTAATAATTAGTAGACTAGGTACAGGTATATGATATTATATATTTGATTTATAGAGATACAAACGTCAATATTAAGTGACATACAATTAAAATACAAAAAGAATAATTATAACAGTATGTTTTTAACACTTTATTTAACTTTTCGATAAATACCATTTTTAAAATCAACAACATAGAATTTAAACATTAAATAATACTATACCTTATAATTTAAAAATTAAAAATGTAGTAGGTATTATAATATAACTTAAATATTAAATATTAATAGTTTCAAGGAAAATCATTCAGGTTACATGTACATGACACTTTCAAAAATTAAACATGTAATAATACATATATAGTTAATAGTATATAAATCATATAAGAATTAAACAAACACAAGACAAGAAGTATTCAGTAACATTTGATTTTTATAATCGTTTAAATTTGCTTAAGATAATTCTAACAAGAGCACTTATTCTAAGATTATTAACAATAAATTATGGCAGTATCCAGTAAATGTTGATTCGTAATAATTAACATAGTATTATTTTTCATAGTTAATAAATTCTATTAGTTTAATCTTAACATTGTTACAAATTATAACTTACAATATATTTAGTAGTAATATTAGTAATTCACATAATAATACATGGGTCAGAAACAATAAAAACTAATGTACCTAGGTATGTTGGCTATTACTTAACAAACGGCATTGTATAAGTTTTGTTAGTTTTATTTTTCGGTATTTTCTAGATGATGAGTAAAACAAGGTAGATACATAATATTTTTAACACATTTCTATAGAGTATAGATTATATTTAAACACAATATTATAGTTTAATTATATTCAGTTTTCGGTGTAAACATATTGATACATAGGTATTTACATTTAAAGCTTATTCGATGTTATAAATTCAAAGTTTATATGATACAACAATGTTCAAGAATTTGATTTTAAAGCACGAAAATAGGTGAATTCGTAAAGCACAAAAATGTAATAAATCACAGATATAATTTTTAAACATTAAAAATTATTTTTTATATTGCAACATTTTGGCAGTGAATTACAATCAACAGATCAGCACATCATATTAAGTACCTATTATTAATTAATAATATATTTCAATTAATATTTTTTTAGTTGATTTTCTTATTAAAACCCTGACTAATTAAGCTGCAAAATTAATGAATGAACACACACGGGTGCTGGTGTATTAAAAATGGAATGTTCTTGCTTATTTATTTTGAATATATTATTTATTGCTTCTTAAAATCATGAAAACATTAATTTTAATATTGTAGAATAACAGTTATTAACTAGAATAAAAACTTTTTGTGTAGGATATAGGTATTAAAAAGTTGTAGATAGTAAGTCTTCGTGAGCCAGTCACAAGTTGATTAAATATGTAAAAATAACTAAAGATAGGAACGATTGTAGTTTGATTATTATTAATCTAAACTAGAAGGAGGAGTGTAGGAGAAACCAGCAAACACATTATCTATGTCCTGTTTACTAGTAGAAAGTTTTTCGTCACAAAACGACGACATGGACGAACTGACAGATTCCTTTGTAAACTGTGGATCAATATACTGCAAATCACATGTTCCATTCTGTGAAAAAAATCACCATTGATAAATAATGGATTAACTTACACACTTATAGTTATAATTAAATTAATTAATTATCATCCGATTATATTTATTGTTAGTATATAAGAATACTAAAGTAATTTTTTTAATACTGAACTAAATTTACCAGTTGTGGTTGAAAAGGTGGTGTAATTCGTTTATTCAATAAATCATCCCAATTGATTGTTTTGAAAAATGGATGTTTTTTAACCTCATTAAAATCTTGAACATTGCTACCAATTCTTTTATTAGTTTCTTTTTCCAATAACTAGAAATATATATTTGTAATTAAAATATTATTTTATTAATTTTTTTTTAAATTTAGTATTAAGTATATTTTTCAAACCTTGTGCAATAAATTTTTGCATTGTGACGAAACCGGTCCTTTTATTTTTAATCTACTATGCAAAACTAAATTATACATTTCTTGCACATTTAAACTGTAAAATGGTGGGAGTCCGAATAACATTTCATATAATACTGCACCAAGACACCACCAGTCAACTGATCTGCCATATGCCTAAAAATAATAATAAATATATTAAATTATCACAATTTTAATAATTTTCAATAAAACCAGTAGGTATTACTTCTTTCCTGATTATTTCGGGAGCAAGATATTCTGGAGTTCCACAAAATGTATTTGTAGTTTTAGTTCCGATGAGACCTTCCTTGCAAAACCCAAAATCAGTAAGGACCAAATGTCCTTCTTGGTCAAGTAACAGGTTTTCTGGTTTGAGATCTCTATAAATAATACCATTAGAGTGGAGATATCCAAGGGCCGATGCTATTTCAGCTGTATAGAACTTAGCTCGGCTTTCTGAGAATCTGACTTCTTTTTGTAAATGATAAAACAACTAAAAAAGTAAAAATTAAAATTAAATAAAATTAGACTGATACAATATTTGAAGCACTTATTTACCTCTCCACCATTTACAAAATCAAGTACAAAGTAAAGTTTATCTTTGGTTTGGAAGCTGTAATGAAGGCCAACAAGAAATGGATGGTTGATATTTTTCAGTAGAACATTGCGTTCACACATGATATGCTTGACTTCATTTCTTGCAAGTATGTGCTTTTTATCCAATACTTTTATAGCAAAATGAATGGATTCAGTTTTGTGTTCAGCCAAGTAAACCTTACCAAAGCTGCCTTTTCCAATTATACGTAGAAATACAAAATCTGATGGATTAGCACTAGAAATTAATATAAAACTAATTAATTAAACCCATTACATAAATAATTTTTGTTATATATATAATTTTTTTTTAGGAATATTCGAGGCCTTTTAGCCCAGACTTGCTTACATCATGTCTTTCCATGTTTGTCTATAATAGTCTATATCAGAGGTTCCAGAACTGTGGGTCATAATTATATTATTTTCGGTAGCTCACGTTAAGTTTTAAAATATTTATATATATTTTTTTTTTTAATATAAAATATAGATTATTAAATACTCTTAAGATTTTTAGACTTTCTTTAATTCCATCCGTCTACTATTGTCTAGGCTTTCCTCCTAATCGTATTTTATTTGGTTTCTATTTCATAACTCTCCGTATGAGTTATTCTTCGCTCTCTATACATCCCCAGCCCATCTTAATTTCTGGCTCTTGAGTATGCCCTATTATATACTTATTTTATACAACTTACAACTATAATATTTTCAAGTATTTAACAATAATTTTTTATGTATAATAAACAAATACAATTGTATAGTATTGAAATATTTTTTTATAATCATTTATTTGAAATGACGTCGAGTCTTGTTGGAATTTCATAGGTAAAATCTAATAACTGTCTTGTTTAACTGACATACAATTAACTAAACTATATACTTTTATTTTGTTTAATATCAAATTCAGTAGATATCATATGATGACAGATATTATGTAATTACTAATTAATATACAACGTTACTGTTACCATTAGAACATATTGACTTAGTTGAACAATCATAAATTAATTACTAAAAAAAGCTTTATTTTAATATTATGTAATGGATTTGTTTGTCAGTTTAACATGCAAGTATTTTCAATAAAGATTTATTGCTTATGACTTATTATTGATTATAATAATTATATTACTTACGATGGTCTTTCTGAAGGTCCTAAATTTATTGTACCAGAGCATTTAAGAAGGTTTGGTCTGTCTGGTTCTTTAACTTTAGTATCCAAGTTAAAAAATATGCGGACTTCACTTCTTTAAAATTCAAAAATGTTTACTATTATTAATTTTAAAACATAGTAAAGTATGTGTTTTTTTTTCTATAAGACAAACCATAATATTATGAGGATATCAGCGCACTGTTTATTCTCTTTCTTTGGCCAACGCACAACATAAAAAAAACACTATTACAAAAAACAAATTTTTGTAGGTTTTTGAGTATTCGAAGAGTAAAATCACCCATTACAAAAATTATAAAAAATAATAATTTTGAGTTAAAGTATCAATTTGCCTAAATATTATAGTCTTAAAACCAAAAAATAATAAAATATAAAACTGATAAACACTTACACCTTCAAAAATATTATCATCTATAATTTTTGTAGTGTAAGATTATACTTTATGATTAGTCAAAAAATATAAAAAAGATTTTATATGAATGTGTTTTATTGAATGTTGCACATGGGTCTGAGAGTAAACAAATATTGCACTGACATTCTCTTAAAAAGATCAATTATTATTGATTTGTTTTATAGAAAAATAAAACAAAATAATTATAAGTTAAACGTTATACCTAAACTCTAGGTCCTAGAGCATGATTACTGCAAAATTATTGATGAATAGATTGGGCACACATGTCATTGTCATATGCTATATTCAGTTAGAAGTATAAGGTTTATTGGTGTTATATGCTGTCTATACTTAGTAACAATATCTACTTTTTCTCACATATTAGAAACTAATTCTTTACATTTGTATGGTATTTATTTATATATTAGAAAGTGTTTGGTCTTTGGTAATTGTTGAACAATTTTTTTTCTACGATTTTTCATAATGAGCAATATGTGTGAATTATACCAGAAAATTATTTTTAATAATGAAACTTGTCTGAAGTTTTTAACAAGCCATGAATTATTACCAAATTGAAATGTTTGTTGTACAAAATTAAATTCTGCAGGTAAGGTTTTTATGAAATCCATTTTCCACGTAAGTGGACTAAAATAAAAAATAATAATAGTGGATTGAGCGTGTTATGCGAAATTATTGAACTTGCTTGGTGCTGGGTTAATGAATTTAAAGTAGCTCAAACAGAAAACAAATTGGAGGAGGACATCACATAGTTTTCTTTTGTAGATAGCATACAACAAATTTTCCATAGATTGATTTGTCAATACATACACCTATTAAAGATATTAGTGTTTATATAATATAAAAATACTCAAATTAAATTGCCACAAATAATGAATAACAATATCTATGTACAAATTGTCTTGTAATACTTATTTTAATTTTAAAATAACATATATGAATTGAATATAAAGACAGCAATTGAATATGAGGTGCTACTATTATGTTGTATACTCGTATGTATTCATGTGTAATTAAAAACTATTATTAAAATATAAGTCAGAAAAATGATAAAGTTAAATTGATAATAACTAGCGTTTCTTGATAACATTATAATTGGATACAATTTTTAGGATTTTTAGAAATAATTTAGTTTTTATTTTGTTATCTGATTTATAATTATGTAAAATATAATATAGAATAATACATATTCATTGAAAAAGTTTTAAATGATTAATATTTGATTTTATAACTAATTCTCATTTAAAATTATGTAGTTATATTATTTTAAGCATACTTCTAAAATGTCTAAAAGATACGTATGCATAGTCAATTTGTGCGTCACATAAATTGACTATGCATACGGAAAGTATTTAATTTATTTTGAGCTTTTGATTACACATAATTAGTATTTATTGTTAGTCATTAATTTACTAATATCATTTTTTTTCTATCTAGTTAACTATTTTTACTGTTAATAATTGTAACTGCACCATTGCAGATAAATATGCACCACTAATTTTTAGTATTAACATGCACAATCTATTATGAAAGTGTATTTAATAATTTAAAATTTTAATAAAAGTAGAGCACAAGAAAAAAAAAGTTCAGTTCATTTATTAAATCATTCATAAATTCTAAATAGCTTTTAAATATTTTGATTATGAATATAATTTCATAATATAATACAAACTAATAATTAGTTAAGCTTACATGTTTAGTAAATTGTTTTGATGCATTAAATGATGTACAAATTGATCAAGACCTTCCCGGCGAGAGGCAATGAATGAAGGATCCATGTTGTTACAAAACAATTTCTTACCTGGTATTTTTAAGTTTGAGTCTGGCACCTACGAAATAAAAACTTTAAATCAATAAATCGACTAAAATTAAAAATTAAAACTTGGATTTTACCTGTTTCTTTAATACTTCATTAAGTTTATAGAACTCATTATAACGTCTAAATACATGCCAAGATTCATTCCGTGACCAAATTACAACTTTATACACCTAAAAACATATGGAATTAAATTTTTCAGACCTAAATACTACACGCTACCATGACTATGTAATTTTTTTTATAAAATAATTTAATATACTGTAAATTTTTTATCTTCCTGCCAAATCTCTGCTTGTGACACCATAGCCGCAGTTTTATCATCATCCCCGTCCATAGCCAATTTAGAACAGTTTTCACACGTATCTAGTTCTACTTGTATGCTGGACTTATTGTCCATGACGTCAACACATGCCCTGGAATGACTGCCGATGGTAGAATATCCACTCCGGCCTGTATGACATCCAAAATAACAAAACCAATTTAGACACATCATAGTTTTAGTCATTTCAACTATAGTTTACAAAATGACCCAGTGACCTAATAATGGACATTGGATCTAATTTCGTCACAAGAGTAAATAATAATAATCGTACATAATAGTCTCTTCAGGGAAATGTATTACCTCACCACGACAAATCCATTGGCATTCCAACTTCCCACTACTGTCACATAATTGTTGATTGTTTTCTAGCTAATAAAATAAATAAATCTGTGGAGAGTGGACGCTGAACTTTCCATTTTTAGAACGGCGGAGCTTATCACGTTAATGACGGAGGCACAGCGCATGCGCTCGAAACAACTTGTAAGTTTCACGGTAAAATGATAATCACAGGATTTTGTTGCTAATTTTTTTTTGTTATCATTATATGTTTATTATTTTGTTACTACTTTGTTTACATTGTGTTATACGCTCGTACGTATAGTCCACGAACTGTAGTAGTCACGTAAAATTATAGATAAGAAATCTAATAAAACCACAGAACAATAATAAAACTAAATTGTTATTCACAGTGTTCACTGTTCGTAGTATTTCAGACTTCAGTCATTACTTATGAAATTGTTGTCGTACTCGCTTAATAATTGTTTAATGTTTATTGGCTTACAATTTCTTTATTGACGTTTATTAATTTCATACGTGTGAATTTGTAAATAAATAAAAGTATTACAAAACTAAACATTGGCATTCAGAATGGCTCAACCTCAAAGTGGAATGCCCCCTCCTGCATACTTGATGGAAATGTTCCAGAAGTAAAATACAACAAATAATCATTAAAACTAATTCAGTTATATATTTAAATATTTCCTTATTTTTAAAGATTAGATAGAGACCAAAGTGGTTCCATTACAGCTAACGAATTACAAACTGCACTATCCAATGGCACATGGACACCTTTCAACCCGGAGACGGTTCGTTTAATGTTGAGTAAGTCAAAAGATGTTTTAAATTTAAAATTCAAATACAATTATACCCAATGATAATTTGTGTATAATAATTGTACTGGCGGGTGGGTGATCCACGCCTGGGCCTATCAAAAATTTGGGCCTTAACTTATGAATATTTTATTATTATCCCCTGGGGCAAATTTTTATTCCCAGTCCGACCCTGAGTAGAACTTATAAGGACAATTAATTACTAAATAGTGTGTCGGACAATTGAGTCATTCAATACCATTTATCATTAATGATTATGTACTAAGTCTCATACTGTCCTCTGAGTCAGGCCTTCTCCTAAATAGAAGTAAAACTCAATTTAGGCAATAATAGGAAAAAGTATAGCCAACTTAATGACTTATTTAATTATCTCTTGGATAAACACATACCTATTCTCTTGTAAAAGAATTGGTCGAGTATTAAGAGAACCAATTGTGAATAGTTAGTACTTAGTACTATCTACTGAAGGTATCTGAAGGCTAGTTTTTTAATTAACTTTAACTGATAGAAGAATTTAACCGTCAGTTAATACTACAAGTACCAGTTAAAATGTTTTTGGAATTCCAGTTAATATTATAACCATCAGGTTTAACCTATAGTTAATAATATAATACTTAAATCCTAGAAAGATTCCAGCTAAGAATTTTTAAAAATTATTGCCTTACTTTAACATTAAGCCGTGTCCTTTGTGGATCCAACAAATTACCAAACAGCTTGTATTTCATCGCATCGTATCGCGACAGAACAGGATGATCAGAATAGTAATCGTAGGACTCACCGGATTTACGTAGGACACGGCGTTACCCTTACATATAAAAAAAACAAGATTGTAAAAGCTTGATTTAATTTTTTTTTTACGGCCAGTCTCCCAAAATTCTGTTGGCGCATTTAATCAAATAAATAAATAATACTGATTAAATCAAGTCGAACTGCATCTGTAGTGTTATTTTAATTTTGTATTAATATTTATTTAATTATTTATAGACATGTTTGACAAGTCAAATAAAGGCACTATATCATTTGAAGATTTTGGTGCATTATGGAAATATATTGTAGATTGGCAAAATTGCTTCCGTTCCTTTGATAAAGATAATTCAGGAAATATAGACAGAAATGAACTTCGAGCTGCATTACAAACATTTGGATACAATTTGAATGATGCTACCGTTACTACAATGTTGCAAAAATTTGATAGAATTGGAAAAGGGACTGTACTATTTGATGATTTCATACAATGTTGCATCATGCTTAATGTAAGTATTGCATATTAGAATTAAATTGTTGTTTCAATTACTTTAAAAGTTACTGTTTATAAAAAGAATAATCCCTACTAACTAATATAACTCAATATTATAAAATACAAACTATGTATTTACTATTAAATAATCTTATTGTACTAACCCCTTGATTTAACAATTAATAATTTTCCGAGACATCTTAAACAAAAATGTAATTACAAAATTTGACCTTAAATAATTTATTCAAACACTAAATTTTGAAGCACATATTATATAGACCTTACATATAAAGGCATCAACGTATCTTTACTGTTTTGTTAAATTAAGATATATTTCAATATTTCATAGTTTGCCGAAAACTATTTTATCATTACTTGTAGTCAAAACATGAATCGATAGAAATTGTAAATTTTTTTATTAGTAAGAGTTTACAAAACAAATATTTATTATTTAATTTTAATTTTTCAGAATCTAACTACAGCATTCCGCCAATTTGACACCGATCAAGATGGAGTAGTCACATTGCATTATGAACAATTTGTTGGGCTAGTGTTTAGTATTAAATGAGTCAAACTCATTTAATTTTATCATCAATTCTGTCAATATTTATTTATTTTTTTTTTTAAATATATTTGCACCAAACTAAATGATATATGAAAGAGGCTTTTTTTATTTTTATAAGTTAAATATAATACAATTTAAAATAAACTGTGTTTACTGTGAAAATTAATTAGTAAAAAATTCCATAAATTTTGTGATATTAAAAATGAACTAATTTAAACAATAAAAAGATAAAATTATAATAAATACAAGTATATAATATTTATTGTGTTAATCCCTAAACTTAATTAACTAAAAAAAAAAATACATTAAATAATTAGTTTTTACATAACCGATGTTGTAATACCGCTCAATCTTTTAATGGTAGCGATCAATTTTGTAGAAGCTACCTTATAATCAATAGGTTTTATACTGAATAATGTTACTTTTAACCTAGTCTCATTGTTGTATGTCTCCATTTTTGCTCTAGCTCTAATCTCAAATAATTTAAACATTTGATTTTGAAAAACATCACTATATTCTTCCTTAGACTCTTCCATCAACCTTCCCAATTCTGCACTAGTAGTTCCCAAAAGACTTTCAGCAGTTTCCTGAAACATGGTTACCCACTGGTTTCCAGTCGAGTCACTCAATTGTGCCGAGAGCATCAATCTATACTTGAAATTTTCTGTTTCATCGTTACACTTTTCACAACGATATGTTCCGTCATTTCGATCGATAACTTTTTTTTGACAATCTGGTTTCGGACATGCTTTATACAGGGCAGATTCGGATTTCACAAAAATCAAATGCGAGTACATACTAAAATAATCAGCTTTTTCCCCACTACCAAGTTGAGCAAGTTGTGCTCCTTTAATTGTAAGAAATTGATTATTAGCTCCAGCATCAGAACGGGCTGAAATACTAGTGAATTCTGCATTTGAAGGAAGTGAATCATACCAACCCCTTAAGCGATGTGCTTCGTCTATGTCTGGATTTATTTGCATTACAGTTGATCCTAAAAGGGACAATGATTTGCTACCCATGAATTCTCTGATTCTGCTTCCTTTTATAGCAATTACAGGTTGCAATGATCCATCAAAATCTTCTGCTTGAGTATCCCACAAAGTAATAGTCACAGAACTCAAAGACTGGTCGACTATAGTCACATCTCTTTTTTTTAATTCCTTTCTTGTAGTCTTTGACATTAACATGGTTAATTCTCCTGCAGTTTGACAAACTCCTATGACATCTACTATACCATCAACATCTACGTCTTTCACTTGACTCAATGGAACAAAATTAAATTTCAGAGCGGGCATTTGAGTATCATCAAAGTCGTGACATGGAAATATTTGTGTTTCACCAGAAAGAGTAAGCTCGTAATCATTATTCAGATTTGAAAACTTCTTATTTGCTGTTTTAATTGCGCCGCGAGTTATAAAGTATACTTTATTTACTTCAATCATATCAAAGAATTTGTCACATTCACTATTAAAGGCAGTTGCACGAATCTCACCACTCTCATCAAGTAGATCCATGCTAAAAAGTTTACCTTCGCCTCTTTGATTACTCCAAGTACGAACAGGAGCTTTGTTTACAACTCTAGCTCTGATTGTCCATTTATTTTGATATGGGCTTAGAGAATTAATAGGATGAATATTGCTAGCATCAATATCTCGCTGAAGACCATTATCTATAATACTTGATTGGACAGAATGTGCTTTTGCCAAAGAATTAGAGTGGGGTGTGGAATCATCGACTGAAGCAGAAGCGCCATTTCCCACCATTTGACCAGAATTATCAATTATAGGTTTAGGATCGCCAATTTTTGAACCCACTGTATCACCATTTACCATAACTGCTAAATCTATAAGGATCATAACTTGCTTACTTCCTTTTGAGCGGTCAGTCAAGTTACTGATTATATGACGTTTTATCTTTAGGATGGAAAATTCATTAATTTCTCCAGAAGAAACCATGCCATTCAACTGAGTAGCCAACATGGCAAAAGAATTTAAATTATGGCCATCAGAAATAAGTAAGCGATATCTTTCATTTGCTCCTGCAGCAGTAATTTTCCTTACACCGAGAACTTGCATGACTGGATCTTTAACATCTTCATTGTTCATGATCGACTTTAAAGCACCCTTTGTTAACATCTTTTCATACTCCATTTTTTTAATGAATGATTTCCTGAATGAACATAACATAGAATTAATAATGAATACTTAATTTTAAAAACAATTTACATTTAAAAACATTTTAAACAGGTTTTGGACATATTATTCCACTGTGTATTTTATTTTATTATACCATAAGATTAAATTAATTGTAACAGTTATTTAAAATCAACGTAATGATGTTCATCATAATACTTTTGTTGATAATCTTCAATATTTAAAAATACAATATTATCGTAGAACTCACTTGTCAATTTGAATAGCTTACTTCCATTTTATTAAAATAGGTAATTAAATTGGTAAACTATTCTTTCAATTGAAAAAATGTGGTTATACCTATATTATTATGGTGACTTATAATAGTGTTCATAAAAACTATGTAGGTAGTAGGTAAATTTTGTGAGACATTATTGACAAGACATAATTTATTTCCACGAATATACCTAGATTCATTTTTTTTATATTAGTGCCTATTTAGACAAAAAAAAATAAAAAAATAAAATTGATACATTTATTGCTCTGCTCAGAATTTAAAAAGGATCTTAAAGGATAGTAAATATTGGGTCAATATTTTGTTGCGTTAAATAGTTTATATTGATAACAGCATATCTTTAAAACACTTAGCTTGATTATAGTTGAAAAATTAAATAAATTTAAGTAAATGGCCATCAATTAAGAATAAGCCTCAATACAGTGAATTAAAAACTATTAAATTCTTTACAATGTTATTAATAATAAGTGATGGGTACCTAAAAAATTAATTTTCAATTAAGTATTCCAAGCTATACTAGGAAGTTGACAACAGATTTTAGAGAAATTTAACGAAAGGCACAATACATCGATTACAAAGCACTAATTCAATACCTTAGTACTATTTAAAAATAATAATTTAGTCATACTTAAAATCAAACAAAATCTATTATCAAATATTATTGAAGTGTAAAAAAAATAAATTGTAAATACACACATTACCTGTGTATTTGAAACAGCTATTTTTTAGTATCTACCTACACACAAATATTTATAGTTTAGAATTGTCGAAAATATGTATTTCGTCCGAATAGTGCGAGTGTGTCTTTTATTCACATCGGGATTCAACTAAGCGCCAGACGGAATGAGATTATGGTAATTGATATTACTATCAAAAGCATAAATAATCAATGAGTATTTATATTTATTACATATTTTATAATTCGACTTTTAAAATTAGATACGATTTGGAAGGAAAATAGGTAATCGAACACGTTCGTCGCCTGTGTTGTACTGAACGATTGGATTCAACACCCGAAGTACGATTAATTAATTATAAAGTGTCTTACTTTTTAGTTCAAATATATTTATTGGACCTCTGGAATATGGTATTTCGTTTAACAGTAGCCAACTGGATTTCTACTTTCTATGGTAAGTAACTGAACACTAAATACTAAAGTCTAATTTGTACTTTTCGTCTAGAGTATTTTCAATTCCGTGACTGTAATCTGTATTCACTATATTTCACTAGTTAGATATAGTGGTGGTTACAAAGAATACACAAGTAAGGGCGGGAAATGAGCTGATAGGAGAGTTGATCTAAACCTCAAAGAGGTTGTACAATTGATAATTTGTAATTATTTTCCCGCCTTACTAAATTTCGTGGCGATAACCCGGCTTACAGACTTACAGTTCAGTGCCGTAGGCTCGTAGCAAATTGCATACTCTCAGCTCTGACCGTCATTATAGGCTCAAAAAGGGTGGAGCTTGGGGGGGGCTAATCCCCCTAATGTGAATTCAGCCCCCCCCCCCGGATTTATTATCGTATTAATGTAATTTTTGTAAAGAAAAAAATTATTATAATATGACCTACGTCGTAGTAGGTGCATAATACATAAACATAAATTTAAAAAAAATCAAGGGTGGCTATTTTATAAAAATTGTTCAGAGATTTTGAACGTTTTGTACAATGACACAATGTATACATAATTACATAAATACGATAAATCTGTTATTACTATTATCAGGAAATAAAATTAATAGTTTTAATTGTATGTTGGTGTGTAGACAATAGATATCAATTTCGTTTTAGTAATTTGGGCTTACTTAGTATAGGAAAATACATAAATATTGATGCGGGAATCGGTCTTAAATGATCTTGAAAAAAGTCAAAGAAGAATTAATTTAATTTTGTAAATATTAATTAAAATAAAATTGTGTACATTTATTATTTTATAAGATTGTGATTTTTAAAATTTAATTAAGCTTACAACATTACGGCTGTTAGTGAATATAACTAAAAATAATAATTCGAGGATTATTTTGCATCATTTTAAGGTATAGGGACAAAGCCTCAACTTATAATTTTTAGTTAAAAAAATGGTAGGGCTGAAGCGCCCCCATTGAAATTCCATATTAGCGCCTATGCTGACAGCCTGACAATACCAAGAGTATATTATAATATTATTATAATAAATTGTTTTGTGACAGTTAATGATAACAAACGTCGACATTGCGGAAAATATTATAGTAGGATTGCGGTTGCCGGAGAATCATAGTTCTTTTTCAAAGTGGATTTATAAATCCGCCTTATTGTCCCCTATCCTGTAGAGTGTAGAATATAGGTTAGAATTCTATACATAGACTTCTATACTGCATCTATAGAAACGTATAATATAGAAATCTGTGGGATAGTATAATATAGCTATCTTAACTAGTGATGTGGCCTGACGTCTATGGCTATGACAGTCCAAATCAACCAAACATATTTTTCAACTAAGTACTATTATATAGTTACAATATATCAGGAGCCTTGTATTCAATTTTCAAGCTTTTTGACCCAACAAATAACATTTTATGGACAATTAAAGTAAAAAAACTAAAAAAAGTGGGTAAGTGGATGTCGCTCGACTGTACAGTAGGTTACAAGTGGGTCACTGTAATTGATAGTGTTAAATTTGAATTCAATGATAAAATAATTTCATTGTTTAAGAAAAACAATTCTGAGCGAAAACGGTCAGTCAGCCTATGATATTACCATTGATTATAAAATATATTATTGAGTTTTTAGAATCATCAATCAATGATATTACTAAATATATTTAATGATATTATTGTGAATAAAGTAATTTATATATTTACCTATTTACGTGGAACCTTGTTTTAAATTTTCAATCCTTAGCTATAAGAGTTGAACATTTTATAAAATTTTTGACAGCAAAATAATTATTAAATTTTGTCAAAATTCGAACTTTAAATGTTCATATTAAATTGTGTCTATGTATTTTTAATATTTTTTAACTATCATTGTAACAATATATTAGAAGAATATTGTATTAAATGTTCAAGCTTTTTACCCACTGAATAACATTTTATTGTGGAAAACCGATTTTGAGTAAAAATTCCTTTTTTTCCTTAATTTTTATGTTGTTTTTCCCGGCGCTTTTGAAAACTATTGGGAATCTTAAAATTTGACCTCCCGAGTGCACTAACAATATTCACCTTCCCATTGAACAAGATATTGAAGTTGAAAATCAAAGCATTGTAAAATCAATGCATTCATCGTTTCACTCAGAATCTAAAATTGAAAATGTGAATGTCCGTAAACAGCACAAAACGAATCACAGTATTTTGAACATCTTTTCAAGTATGGAAATTGATAAAATAAACATATGATGTGAATTTCAAGTATTTACAGTTATTCGTTTGTGACTTACAAGAAAATAAGAAAATCGCTACAAAATCGAGTAAACATGTAATGATATAAAATATTTGAACTTCAAACGCTCATAAAAATTTAATTTGATTTTCCAGTAGAAATTTTTTTGTTTGATGAAGGTAGAAAAACTTATGAGGAGTTTTGTATTTAATTTTCAAACCTTAGAATTAAAAAGAAAAATGTTTATGAATTTCTAACTCAAAATAATCGTGATTTTTACACCTTTGGTCAAAACTCGTACTGTCAATGTTCATATTAAATTGTGACTACGTATTTTTAATATTTTTTAACTATCATTGTAACAATATATTAGAAGACTTGTATTAAATTGTCAAACTTTTTTATCCAATGAATAACATTTTATTGACATTTAAAGAAAAAAACTAAAATATTAGAAACTGAATAGGAATGTCCGTAAACAGCTCAAAATAAGTCAAAATATTTTGAAAGTTATATGGTTGATAAAAAATGCTAATACAAACATTCAATGAAGATATCATGTATCTATTATTTGTTTTAGAGTTACACCAAAAACCAAAATCGATTTTGTCGAAAACCGATTTTAAGTAAAAATTCCCCGTTTTCCTTAGTTTTTTTTTCGTTTTTTTCGGTGCTTTTGAAAACTATCGGGAACTTTTTTACCTTCCCAATGCACAATGCACCGACGACCGACTAAATTCATTTTCCCATCAAACAAGGTACCCAAGTTGAAAATCAAAGTATTATTTCGACTACTTATCGTGTACAGTATACATTGTATACACAGATAGAAGTCAGGTAATTAAAAAATTTAAAAACACACATAATTGTAAAATCAATTCATTCATCGCTTCGCTCAGAATCTAAAAATCATTTGACGAAATGAAAAAAGAATCAAAGCTTATGAGTTCACAGGTTTTATTTAAAAGTCCTATTTGGGTAGGTAATTTAAGGTAAAAATTTAAAGTCAATTACGATTTATTAAAAATTTATTAAAATTTAAAAAAAAAATATTCAAAATTTATAATTTTCAATGATTTATAATTACAGTGATTATATTGTTAATACGCTAGTGCAACTATTGTGAAAAAAGAAACATATTTTTAATTGAGCCTATAAATTCTGTGTTAAGAATTTGAATGATAATATAATATGTTGTAGAATGGAAAATAAAAATATGTCAAACCATAAAATAAATTAAGAAATGTGTAACATATCTAAATTCAAAGGTAAATTCTCCACTTCCTGATCCGGATCTATTGGTGATGTTGGTGGTGCTGAAGTGCCCATTTCAACACTTGGTTCCGGAATCTCATCAGTTGAAGCAGGTATACTATTCTCAACTACTTGACCAGAATGCTCCACGACTGGTTTAGGATCACCAATCATTCTATCCAGACAAACATCCAAACAAATCAAATCCAAAATGAGAATGAGTTTTTTATTAGTCGCACTTAGTTGACTGACTGCATAACTTCTTATATATATGATTGAAAATTTTTTTATATAGCTTTCAGTAATCATATTATTTAACTGAGTAGCTAACATTACTAAAGTGCTGTAATGTTGACCGTCCGAAATCATTAAACGATATTTGATTATTCCTAAGTAATCAGATGTCACTTGTTTAATTCCAAGGATTTGCATGACAGGATATTTGACTTCTACATTGTTCACAATAAATTGTAACGCACCCACTGTCAATAATCTTGAATATTGTTCTGTTTCTATAAGTGATCTCCTGTACAAACAACAAATTAAAAATAGTTTCAAAACTCATTCATAGTTACTTAAATAGTATATACATAGTGTCGTTAATATGTTCATTATAGAATACACTTAAAAGTTAAAACACATTGCAAATAAATAAGTAGGTACCTACTAGGTAGGTATTATAATTGTAATTCTATCAAATCATCTGCAATTAACATACTTACATACTATAATTCTCAAGTAAATAAATATAGGAAACTAATACAAGGTTATACGATTTTGTTATCATGATATTATATAATTGCTATTGCTTATTGGGTATTGTAGTTTTTATCAGAAACTGTTTAAAATATTAAGCTTTGAATTCCTTTTTTATTAAACGTATTTCCATAAAGACATTAAATTGTATATAATAAATATATATATACAATTGTAGAGACTGGATAATAGTATCCAGACTATTAAAATAAATAAAAATAGCATTATTTTAATTGTAATAAGAAATTATATGATTTTGTTAAAATAAGAAAATTAGTTACCATATATGATGCTTTGTATGCAATACTCTAATTTCTTCGTAAACTTGAACCGTCTGAACTGAAGCTTCCGTTCTAAGCATTGGTTCAATGTTATAAATAATTGGTTGAGGGTTACCAATAGTCTTAAAAACAATAGAACCTGATACAACAACAACCAAATCTGTAAAAATAATGCCTTTTCTTGGTTGTTTAGCTGGTGCAACACTATTAGTTATCATATAACGATTTATCTTTATAATGGAAAATTTGGAAAGTTCTCTAGTAGAAACCATACGGTTCAAGCCAATGTTCATCTCAACAGAATTCATAATATTTTCACCGTCAGAAACAGATAAAATATAACTTTTCATAATTATATTATTATTGTTATAAACCAGATTTTTTGAAAGTTCTTTAATATCAATAACTTGCATGACAGGACATTGAACTCTTTCATCGTTCTTGATGGACCTTAACGCCCCTTTTGTTAACATTTTTTCATAGTCCATTTTTTCTATGGTTATAATATTATAGTTACACCAATCTTTTGAGTGATTTTTCTGTAAAATAAAAAATAAAAAATCGGGTAAGTGGATGTTGCTCTACTGTATAGTGTACAGTAGGTTACAAGTGGGTCAATGTAAAATGGATTGTATTAAACTTGAATGCAATGACATAGGTATTTAGGTAATATACTAATATCATTGTAGATATGAGAAAAACGATTCTGAGTGGAGACATGTGTCAGTCTGGATATTTTATATTGTTATTATTTATTATAGCCTGTAAGTTGAATTAAATATACTATAATATTATAATAGTATTATTATTTTTTATTCGTTTCTACTTTCTATAATGGTGATAAACAAAGCGTTATAAATTACGCGTTATATTTTAGCGGTTTTTCGTAATTTGTCGGTGGTTTTTCCAGTGGCATTAAATATTATACATAGTACCTATACAGGATAAAAAAAAAAAAATAATAATAAACCCCATTGCAGATCATTAGCTTCCTAACTCCTCTCAGAATCTAAAAATTATTTTCAGTAATTACATAATAATATAAAAAGTAATAAATAAAATATTTAAATAATTTCAACTACTGTTGTTAATTTATGTAAAATACTGTAAATATTGTTCGTACCTACACATATTGATATAATATTTATGTTTTGTGCACATGCCCAAGCTAATATTTATTTTAGTTTAATTTTTGGCGAACCCTATAATAACAATACATTAATATCTTCTACTCATGTCGTAGTACCTTCGCTGGGAGGCCTCTACAGTCTGCCTAATCTGCCTTTTTATTTTTATTTATTTTAACCTATAAATCATCAATTGTTTTTATTGTTCTTCTTTTTTTTTGTAACAGATTGAATAAAAACATATGAATCAAAAAAAAAAAAAGGTACTCTGCTGTATAGTAGGTTACAAGTGGATAATGGATGGTATTAAATTTGAATTCAATGATATAATATCACTGTATAAGAAAAATAAAATAAAATGAAAATTACATATCTAAATGCTTAGAAAAAAAAATTGTGCCTATGTATTTTCAATATTTTTCAACTAATATTGTAACAATATATCAGGAGGCTTGTATTACATTTTTGGCCCAACAGATAAAACTTTATTGATATTTATAAAAAAAAAAAATTGAAAAATTGAAAAATTGAAAACTGTAAATGTCCCCAAACAGCTCAAAAAGAGTCAAAATATTTTCAAAATTGTATGGTGTATAGGAAATGCTAGCATAAACATTCAGTGAAATTTATATGTAACTACAGTTATTCGTTTTTGAATTACAACAAAATGCACCTCCTAAATGCACCAACTAGATTCACTTATCCATCGAACAAGATACTGTTGAAGAAAATCGAAGCAGATGTACTGCCCCAAACGGTGGTGACAGACACAAAAATAAAAAAATAGAATAAAACACACATCATTGTACAATCAATACATTCATCCAGTGGTGTAATTGAAGGAAAAGTATAATTTTGCTCAACCGAATAATCCACATTTAAAAAGTATTATTAACAAGACTGATAACATAATATTATAATATTAAGATATTTTAGATTCTGAGTGGAACGATGAATGTATTGATATCACAATGATGTGTGTTTTTTTTTAATTTTTTAATTAATTAATTTTTTTTTGTATCTGTGTACACGATAAGTAGTCGAAATAATGCTTCGATTTTCAACTTCAGTATCTTGTTCGATTGGAAAGTGAATATTGTTGGTGCATTGAGGAGGGCAAAATTTAAAATTTACAGTAATTTTCAAAAGCGCCAAGAAAAACAAAAGAAAAATTAATTTAAAACGGAAATTTTACGCAAAATCGATTTTGGTTTTTGGTGTAACTTTAAAACCGTAGATACATGAAATTTTCACTGGTTGCTTATATTTGCATTTTCTATACACGATAACATTTTCAAAATATTTTGATTTATTTTGAACTGTCTAGGGACATTTTCAGTTTCCAATTTTATTAGTTTTTTTTTCTATGAATGTCAATAAAACTTTACTTGTTGAGTAAAAATACTTGAAAATTTAATACAATGCTCCTAGTTCCTACTATATTGTTACAATGACATTTGAAAAATATTAAAAATCCTTGGTCACCGTTGTTTTTTATAAGCATTTAAAGTTCAAAGAAATTACACAATAATAAACCTAGAATAACTATTTTAGTTATTTTGTTGTGATTGTATAATTTTTATTCGTGGGTACTTGAAACTTCTAAAGTGTACTATTATATATTATCTATGATAGTATCACGGTTTGTTGTTGATGTATAACACGTTATAAGTACCTAATGGATATTGTGATATGATTAGTTTGGAATTTATTATAGGTATTAGGTACCTATTATATGTCAATTTTTTTTAATACCATAGATAAATATATAATATACCTTATACCTAAACTGACATACCGTCTCCGCTCAGAATCGTTTTTATTATACAGGGTGTATCTTATGTCATTGTACGTGGGGTTTTTTGACGATTACGGAACGATAATATGGAATTTCGTTAAAACGAAAAAAGACGTGTTTCTTTATTTTTAACAAGCATTTTTTTTATAACAATTTCAAAATTTTTAAACACGCAGGTGTACCAATAGCAAAATCAACTTTTTTTTTCAAATGGTAACCACTATAATTTTTAATGGATTCTTATAAAGCTTTTTTTTCTGAACATTTTGGTAGTCGAATCGTCAATTTTGGTTCGCTAGTTTATTAACTATGGTCCTCCAAAGATTAGTAAAATATGCATTAATACTTTTAATTAAAATAATGGGTATAGGTTTAATTTACAAGCGCTAAACAATTTTTTCTTATAACTACCATTTGATACACTACAATAGTTGAATCGGTAATCTAATGACACCCTCAAAAAAAAAAAAAAAAAAATAACAAACACAATTGTTTGTAAACATACTATTCATTAATTTTATTTTAACATACGATCATAAAAATCAATATTATTATTTTAATTTATTATTATAATCGTAATTAATTACTTTACATTTTTTTCATCACAGTTATTTTTCTTACAATATCATAAATTTGAATTCTTAATTAGGTAGGTGGCTAAGGTAATAATGGTAAATTGGTAAATGTTATTCGATTGTTTACATTAATATGTGCAACGAAAAAAGTGCAATGTTTTGTGGTGCTCTTTTCGTAGTGGTATAAAGTATAAACTTGATATTTTAACCATAAATTCCCTATAATGGTATCGCATCCAAAATATGAACTTAGGAGTTGTAATTCATCCCTTTCCATCCTTTTTAGTTTTGGATATTAAAATAATAATATTGATTTTTATGATCGTATGTTAAAATAAAAATAATGAAGTATGTTTACAAAAAATTGTGTTTGTTATTTTTTTTTTTTTTTTTTTTTGAGGGTGTCATTAGATTACCGATTCAACTATTGTAGTGTATCAAATGGTAGTTATAAGAAAAAATTGTTTAGCGCTTGTAAATTAAACCTATACCCATTATTTTAATTAAAAGTATAAATGCATATTTTACTAATCTTTGGAGGACCATAGTTAATAAACTAGCGAACCAAAATTGACGATTCGACTACCAAAATGTTCAGAAAAAAAAGCTTTACCAGAACCCATTAAAAAATATAGTGGTTACCGTTTGAAAAAAAAAAGTTGATTTTGCTATTGGTACACCTGTGTGTTTAAAAATTTTGAAATTGTTATAAAAAAATTGCTTGTTAAAAATAAAGAAACACGTCTTTTTTGTTTTAACGAAATTCCATATCATCGTTCCGTAATCGTCAAAAAACCTCGCGTACAATGACATAAGATACACCCTGTATAATGATATTATATTATCATTGAATTCAAATTTAATACCATCCATTATACAGTATTACAGTGACCCACTTGTAACCTCTTGTACAGCAGACTAGCAGAGCACCTTTTTTTTCCTCAAATTACTTTATAAAAGTTTATATTTATTTTAGGTTTCCCTTGTTGAATAATATAAATATATAATGTTGACGTATTGTCAGTATTACTGTTATCGCAATAATCGTATTATTCGTGAACACGTTAGGTTAGGTTAAAATAATAATATATAATAACATGTTATTATCTTGAAATCACGATTATAACTACAGGAACGGCTGAACGGGTGTTTAATTTTAGATCAATAACGAGTAACTGATAACAGTATAATAAAGATTATATTATTATATTATTTTGTTTTGCTTATATAGTTATATCCTTGTATAGTAGGTAGTTGTACTTGTAAATATTACGACATTATGCTATGTCAGGATAATGTGCTTTCCTAAAAACTGTTTATTTGTTAATAATTATTATTAATTACGTTTTTTAAAAATATGTCCAATAAACGACAGTTGACATTGGTCGATTTCTTGTCATCGAAATCTAAATAGTCTACAAATGGCCAGAGCAGTGAGTACCTATTACTTAAATATTTAATACATTTTTCAAACAAAAGTTTTCTTTCTAGCATTCTTATTAAATCTTTTTAATTTTAATAGTTCATATTATGAACAAATAGAATAATAAGTATAATAGGTACCTACTAAAATTATTTCATTTAAATTTATCTTCTCAAGAATTAATTAATTAAAAAATGGCAATTTTTATACATATTATACTAAATTCTAGTATAAAGATTCTTATTATGAATTTATTATTTAACTTTAATTTTATAATTATTATTATGTTTATTAAGTTAAATTGATTGTATTTTAGGAAGTGCAGAAAAACTTGAAAATAGTACCACATGTGTGGATAACACTATAAATGAAGATACGAAAATCTAAAAAGTCGACAAATGTCCAAAGCAGTGAGTATGAAATTGACTTTGATCGTGACCCAGCTAGAAATTTTAAAAATGCATATTACTTTCTTTGTTCTGGTCTCAGTCCATATCAGTCAACCAATTGTAACTTCTAGAAAGTTAATGGTAGAACTTAGTATTTAAGAGGTCAATGTTATGAT